TGTTCTGGAACAGTGTTGTAAATACAACTTAAAGAACCACTTATTTCTAGTCGTGTCCTCTTTTGGAAGGCCAAACAAAGTAGTTTCGCCTTCACAACGAAACACAGTGTCACACACGGCGGGTTAGAGTGAGTGGAGGCCGGAGGCTAGAGTGAGCACGGGCGGCGGCCTAGAGTGAGTGGAGGCCGGTGGGCTTGAGAACGGCGCGGCCGGCGGGCTTGCGGCAACCACATGTGACGACCCCGGGCTGGACTCCGCTTCATCCACGGTGAAAGCCGATCCGGCGATCCACAGCGCGAAGTTGATGTATTTCCTCAGTGACCAGCACGGATCAGCTCTAGGCATGACGAAGCAGATATCGTCCTCTTTTGGAAGGCCAAACAAAGTAGTTTCGCTTTCACAACGAAACACAGCGCCTTCACGACATGGCGGCGGCAACAATACTACAGCGAGAATAAAAGTTAAGCCTTCTTTCTTTGCGTGAACATTTGGGCGGCGTTATGCAAATCTTCCCACACAGTGACGTAGACATGTGGGGGCGTGTTTAAACGAGGTGTTTTAGGTAGGCGTGGTTAACTCTTAACATTTATAAAGGATATCTCTTTGGATTTGAGACTTTAGTCTTTGCAACTTTACAGATTTTCTTTATGCACCAAGAGCTTGTAACACTCCAAAGAGAAAGGAAAAATTTAAATCGCATCATATGACACCTTTAACTCGCATTATTTGAGATGCTACATGGAATGTATGTTTGTTTATACCTTGTGCCCACAATGATAGTAAAACCTGAAATTTATTAAAACCCTGAAAAGACCATTTATAAATCATACTAAATGTTTTTTTTTAAATGTAGTTAGGAATAGGGTATAGAATCAAAATTTTGTACAGTATAAAAGTCAAATGACTAAAGAGAGTCCTCATAAAACACAACATGTTTAAGTAATTCAAAACGGTTTTTAAAAGTGGTGAAAAGACTTTCCCTTACACAACCAAATAAACCTAAAATGTGGAAACAAAGCAAATACTTTATTTACATTTCGTGCAAGACTGATGAATTTTGCTCATGCAGGCTTGTTATGTAGTCACTGTATGAGAATAATGCCTCTTAACTAATTAATTTCTCAGAATATGGAGAATGTTAAATTTAATAAACTGCATGGCTATTTCTAGTTTTGACTTCTGCAAAAAGTAAGAGTCTCTTACTTTTTTACTGTAAGAGGCCATGAGGATCACCTTTTTGGTTCATGTAGCTCTTGTGTCAGTGAAGGTGAGATTTAGTATTAAAGAATGAAAGAAGATGAAGCAGTGCAATAAAGAAGTCAAAGGTCATGTACTATTTTTATTTTATCATGGCATATTAATCTAGTTCTTATGGTTTCTGTCAACTTTCTGAAAACCTTCACCCTGCAGGAGGTTCCTTAAGATGGTTTCAGGTCTTTGAATTTGGAAGTTAATGTTCTTATCAAGAGTGAGAAGCTGTTGAAATCCAAAAGGGAGGTTTTGGACACATGCTGACGCAATATTTTAGTGTGCAACTGATTAAATTAATAAGGTGCTGAATACTGTTATACTATGAAACAGGGCAGGCATCCATGACCTGGAAAATTCATTTGTAATTGCATAAGCCATTGGAGGACAAAACTAATGAAAAAAATCTTGGAAAGAAATTTAATTTTTAATGACGCACTCAACTATTATGCAACCTGACCAGTTTTCTAGACGCTCACCATTTCGAGCAATTATTATGATCTACATTCTGGGCATTCAACTGGAAGTCCAATTCAATTCCTCTTTCAATTACTTTTCATTTAAATATGTTTATTGTCAAACGTCTTTATTATCTTTGTTAGTATAGAAGGGAAAAACAATAGCTAAAACAAGAGGGAAAAAAAAGGTTAGCTGATTTCATTAATCATGCGAAGCTTAGACACACTTACATGTGTGCAAAAAAAAAAAAAAGAAGCGTCTTAAAATACATTAATATATAATGGGAAATATTTTAATTCCAGACTCTTTGAAGTGCAAAAGTATACTGATTCCCTCCCAAATTGTTTTTATTTTCCTCATTTTTGAAATAAATATGGTAAACTTTTATGTCCCATTTAAAGGATGCAAATCCCATTGTTATAAATTATTGTCTACTATTACAATGATCCTAACGCTGATCAAAGTACAAAATTATATATATATATATATATATTTTTTTTTTTTTTTTTTTTTTTTTTTTTTTTTTTTTTTTTTTTCATTATAATGACGTTAATTGGTAGACTATTTAAAAAAAAAGAATGTAAACAACTCACACAATTATATATATATATTTTTATTTTTATTTTTATTTTTTTATTTTTATTTTTTTACAAACATTGCAAACCTAATATTAATTCCATGCTCAAATAATAGTTAGTTTGACCTCCACACTTCCTTTCAATGACCATTTTCAAAAAGCCTTTCCAATTGCATAAACCAGACTTTAATACATTTAATAAAACACAACTTGCTGCATAAATATTTCATGGCCAATCATACTGAAGCAACCTGAGGTGATTTGTCCTTTGTTGTCTATCCATGTTTAAAACACTTTCAAATATTATGCATAAAACGCAGCTTGCAAAAGCGAAGTGCTTTTTCTGTATCATCAACTATATTTAGTCTAGGCCAACATTTCTGCTGCACCATATTAGTGGATTCCTCAGAGGGAAAGGGATTCAGGGAAAGGTAGAAAATGACAAAGCAAGGGTAAACTGAACAGCTCATGCATCAGCTGCTTCAGAGAATGACCTCAAACACTGCTGTGACAGGGACACTCGCTTTTATTTATGATTGGACCTGGAAAGCCACAGCGAAAGGCATTTAAAAACTCATTCTGTAAAAAGCAAGAGTTTCACAATTGTACTATTTATATTTGCTGAAAAAGAATGAAATATAGAGATCTTGGGTATTAATTAAGAGATAATAAGTTAAATATAAAAATGTATTTCAGTTCACTGATCATATCTGAATCTATCTATCTATCTATCTATTCTGTAATTGATTTTCTGTCAGAAAGTTTTAAACTTGTGTGTGGGAAGGTGGAAGACAGGTTAAGAAGTATTGTATATATTAACACTAAAGCCCAGATAATTATACAGAGAGACATACTGCTCACACTCAGTGTAAAGAAACCTCATTGATTTAAGATGAGGTGATTGCGGGAAACAATGGTCTTTCAGAAAGCGAGAGATTGAATTAGAAACATAAAGGAAGGGAAACAAATGGAAATGTCAAAGACATGAAAAAGAGATGGACAGGCTAAAAGTGTATAATACTGTACAGAAACTGTATAATATAATAGGCTCTGTTTTGAGATAGGACTATGATATATGATTAATTTCACCAGTATAATGAAATGAATGAACAAGAATTAGATAGCAAGTATCGAGGTTTAGCCAGTCCATAATGAAATGAATCACCATTGTGTCTTTGTTCCACACTATAAAAACCTGTCAGAAATGTGTATATGTGCATGTGTGTGTATATATGTGTGTGTGAGTGTGTCTACTACTAAGTTTGTACATGAACAGGGGGCTCTTTCACTTACAAAAAATAAAATATTCATATACAATTTCATATTAAAAGCTAATTAATTGTATAATCTAATAAAAACCTGTTTAATCTAATTTAATAAATAAATTAAATTTTTGTTGTTCATATTTGGTCAGATAACTTAGTTAACAGGTTTCACTGTAATATTTTACATTATTTTCTCATTAAAATTACAAGTATTTTTAGAACGGGGAGCTGCTGCTGTAAAAGAAGCACTGGATAAATCACTTTGGATAAATTTGTCTGAAAAATGTATAATTAGTTACCATTTTTAATATGTTGAGTCAAATATGATTGGATAAGGAAGATGACATCAGTTTCACAAAACAGCATAATGCCTGTAATAAGGCAATTTCAATTTAACACAGCATTTCTTTCATATATGGACAGTCTTTGCATTGGTATGTAAGACCTTTTCTAGTTAATTCTCTTTTGTGTGTTCTCGTCCCATGCCCTGTACCCCACCTCCTCTCTTTATTTAACCCAACGTTATTTTTATTTAACCCAACGTCCCATGCTACCATTCTTTCTCAAACTGTCAGTTTCATTTTTTCAACTTATATTTTTATTTGTACTATTTATTTGCATAGTTAAGAAAATAAGCCACATTTTACTGGGATCAAGGAGCAGTTGATAACAGACAGAGAGAATGGGGTAAAGGAATGGGCAACGGAAAAACAGAGGGAGGAGGAAGGAGGAGGACTGAGTCAATTGTGGATGAGAGAGATAAAGGGAAGCAAATGTGATGGACTAAGCTGGGTAGGATAGTAGGAGTCATATCAAGTCAGGGAAAATGTAGAAAAGAAAACAAAAAGAGAGGACTTGACAGATGCATTTTGGGGGGAAAAAACTGCAGCCATGGGGAATTAAAGAGTGGAAGAGGAAGCAGATTTGTTTGCTTGCTTTTTGTGTGTCTGTGAAATTGCTAAACTGAGTGGCAAAAGTTCAAATCATAAAACAAGATTAATGATGAGAGTTTCAATGCAATGTGCGATGGCCATGTTACACTAAAGGTCAAAAGGTTGTTATAATTGCGATTTGTAATGTTTTTGAAAGTCACAATGGTTGCATTTATTTGATCAAAAATATAGTAACAATTGTAATATTGCAAAATATAACAATTTAAATAAACTGTTAAAAAGTAATTTATTCCTGTGATGGCAAAGCCATTTTTTTGTCTCAAGGGTCCTTCAGAAATTATTCTAATATGCTGATTCTCATCTTTTTGTGACAATCATGCTTTTTTTCTTACAGGCATGGAGACCTTCTCAGAGGCGGTAGGTTGGGAAGGATCCCTCCATGCAACCGTTGCATGGTCTAACTTCTCCTCCTCATTCTCTGAGCATACTGGACTTAACAGTACTTTCAAAGGAGGCTCATACTTCTGGTTGGTGTTTCAAAACAACTCAATAAACCCCACTCAGACGCCCGATCCGGTCAGGGTGCGGGACATATCTCTGGCTAAAGCTGAGATTGGCATTCTGGGTCTGGTTCTCGCTCTCACAACACTAGGGAACGGTTTTGTACTGTGGGTTCTGCTGAGGCGGCGCAAATACAACGCACCCATGCACCTATTTATGGTAAATCTGTGTGTTGCAGATCTTGTGGTGGCGTTTTTTCAGGTGAGCTGAACTTTGTCTAATGCTTAGTGTAGCATTTTGTCTTTTAAGTGACTTGTCAACAGCAGTACACTAATGTTTTGCAGGTGCTCCCACAGCTAGTATGGGATATCACAGAGAGATTTCAAGGTCCTGATGTGCTGTGCCGCTCAGTCAAATATCTGCAGATTGTGGGAATGTTTGCATCCTCTTACATGATTGTTGCTATGACAGTGGACCGCCATAATGCCATCTGCTGCCCCCTGCAGGCTTACAAAGGAGGGGCAGTTTCATGCTGGAATACACCCATCATGGTAGCCTGGGGTCTAGCCCTTGTTCTCAGTGTGCCACAGGTACTAGTTGTAAATACAATGTAAGGTTTACTACACTTAGAATGTTAGGAAGTATGAGTCAGTGAATATACATTTTTGAAGAAACAGATCACCCAAAAATTAAGATTTGCTGAAAGTGAATGGGTGCCGTCAGAATGAGATTGAAAACAGCTGATAAAAATCAATAAGACTCCAGTCCATTAATTAACGTCTAACAGTGAAAAGCTGCATGTTTGTAATAAATAAATCCATCATTAACACATTTCAACTTTATCCTAGCCAATAATCCATAATCCATAAAATTGCTTGTTTGCTTTCTCTTCACAAGACGATAACTGATAGAGTGAAGTCGTGTCAATTACTTGTGGATTAATGTTTTTTTTTTTATCATCTGTTTGAAACCTCATTCTGATGGCACCCATTCACTACAGAGGATCTACTGGAAGTAATGTAATGCAACATTTCTAAAACCTTGTCCAATGAATAAACAAATGTATCTAAATCTGACTGTGAAAAAGCAATTTGCCATTAATTGTTCCCCATCAAAGTCATTCCAAACCTATATGCTGCTATTTATTCCATGAAACACAAAAGGAAATATTTGACATTTTCCCAATGCTGTTTTCCCTACAGGTGTTTATTTTCTCCAGGTCAGAGGTCTCTCCAAGGGTGTTTGAGTGCTGGGGGAATTTTGCTGAGCCTTGGGGACTAAAAGCGTATGTCACCTGGATGACTATAGCTGTGTTTCTGCTTCCTACCTTTATTATCACCGTTTGTCAGGTACTCCTGGTGTCTGTGCATTCCATTTGTGTCTGTAATCCCAGTTTTCCCTTTCACCTTATAAAAAAATACATAAATGTTAACACATTAGTTAAGAATTACCACTAGTGGTTGCAGTTTAAAAGTAAATAATTGATGTGATTTACTATAGTTTTTTTTTTAATATTAGATCAACACTCTTTCATCAAGATAATCTTCACAAATAAACAGAACTTTTATGAATTTTAAAGCCTAAATACAATCACCAGAAGTAATAGGCTATATATGACCAACGATCGCATAACTTCAATGTCATCAACATTAAGCTTCTGACTCTTTCAATCTTAATTAAAAATCTACAATGGAAAGTTCGAGTTGAGTATAAACACAATGAGGCTGTGAAAGTGGACTAGTGAGTAGATACAGTTTGGTGTGATGTTTAAAGTCCCCGAAAACCTCTGTTGTCCCATTTAGCCAATTGTTAGCAAATGCCTTTTTGAAGAGCTTTTAAAAATAACAAGTGGGATACTGCTGATGTATTTTGTGTCATAGAATAAAACATCGAAACATCCTGAGCTTGTGTTAACCACCAAACTTATTTCAGGCATTTAACCCACTTAAAAACCCAACTGACTTCAGCACGATACAAACGGAAGTGCAAAAATGCTAACTCGTTTCCAGGTTTAAGGACTCATTCCTGCAGCACTACCGAAATGTCTCAGCTGTTCTGGAAAAAGGACTTTTGTTTTCTTGAGATAAAACATGATATTCTGGGGTGACAATCATTTGAGAGGAGGCGGATCCCCTGCATGACATGTATCATAATGCTTGTTTGGTGAGATTATGCTCTTTGACCTGGCCAAGGGGTTTTGGTCAGTTAAAGCTCTATTTCAGGAGAGGAATTCTCTAATGTGCAGATCTTTCCTTCCACCAGCTGATACAGTTCCCAGGAAGTCAATCTTATTGAAGAAAGAGTACACTGTGCATAAACCAAACCTAAAACTTCTCAGCCTTGAGAATCTTCTGGTCTGACCATTAAGCACCTGCATAGCAATCTTTCCAAGCTAATGTCTTAATGACATGAAAAAGGTTCTGCATTCATACATCAAACAATTCCCACAAAGCTCCACAAAAACTGCAATGATGAACAAATCTCTCACATTATGAACGTACACGTGTAAAGTTGCTTCTTGCCGCTGACCTGCAGATGGCTTTTGACATCTTGTGAATGTTTGTACAAATTATGGTGTTTCACTTGCACTTAATATTTCATAGGCTGCTTGAGTATCACTGGTGATTCACTTCATACAAAGCTTTTAAATTACTTCTGTTAAACGTCCCATATGGTGTTGGTTTATAAACTAGATTTCCATTAAGAGAGGCTTTCTCTCAATAAATGAGTGCTCGAGATTAGAAAGCAGTGATTCTCAACACTGCACATGCTGGATATCTTCCTTATGTAACATACCCGATTCAATTCATCAGCTCTTTGATAGATGCTCAATGTTCTAAATTTGGGACCCGTTGTGCGTGCATAAAGTAGCGCCGTATTGCTCGAGAACGAATCAGTTTTTCGAACAAATAATGAAAGCGAATTAATTGCTCGTTTCCATGCTAGCTTGTTCGTCAAAAGTCTTTTGCTTACGAGCAGTGGCGGACTGGGACAGTAAATCAGGCCGGGAATTTGACTCCACCCCAGGCCACCTCTGTTGCTGCAGTCACCACCACCCAATATTTAAAGGCCATTTCTTCACACCAATAAATAACCTATTTCCATCCCCTGCTGCTCTTCCATCACTAACCAGATGTTGATATCTCTCACCACAGGCCACTGAGAGCTGCTAACACACAATGCAGCCAATGCAGCCACACAATTCTTGCAGCCAAATGGGCAACAAATTGCCATTGATTGAACAGTTGAATGTCATATAAACTGTTTAGTGTAAGAGATTTTCTTACTGCATTTCCAACAATGGAAACTTAAATTATAATGTATTTTTTGTCATTATAAATCCCTGCTTGGATGCATTCCTTTATTTCCTATTCCAGTTTAAAGTGTAAGGGGTTGGTAAGATTTTTTAAATAGGTTATAAAAGGGGTTGAAAGAAGTCTCTTATGCGGTACAGTAAAATGCAGTAAAAACATTGATATTGTAAAATATGATTACAAATTGAAATAACTGTTTTCTATTTTAATATATTTTAAAATGTAAATTATTCTTGTGACAGCAAAGCTGTTATTTATTTATTTAATTTTTGAGGCAGTGTATCACTACCGTAAATCATGATAAAAGTGACATTATAGATGTCCTTAAGATTATTATACAGCATTTCCTATTATACAGCATTTCGTATTGCTGGTTTAGTCAATAATTCAGAGAATAGTTCAAGTATAAATGTTTAGTCATTGAGAGTGGCCCCAGGTAATAAAATATGTTCTAAGAATGTTTTGCTAACGTTTCCATTGATGTTGGAAAATGTTATTTCTGAATGTTCTCAGAATGTTCAAACCGTCCAGTTCATAAATGTTTCAGAAATGTTTTTGATGTGAAACTTAGAAAAACATTAAGAGAATGTTCAATTAAATTTTTTTGCAAACATTATGGGAATGTTACTTTTGAATTTTCTCCAAACCATTTGAAACTAGTTAGTAGTAACATTTAAAAAAAAATTATGAACATCCAACTATAATTTTCAGAAAAACGCCCCATAAAGGATGTATAAACAATGTTGGGAAGTATAGTTACATGCAACAGAATTACGTAATTTAAATACAAAATTAATGTAACTGTAATCTGTTACAGTAACATTATTAAAGACCCGATAACTTTGAACGAACACTCTATTAACATTACTGGAACATAACTTTAAAAGAACCCTGCCAGAACCTAAGCCAAAATTCTAAAAACATTCTCTGCTAGCTTGGCGAGCATTTGCCAAAGTATACAGTTTTAGTTGAGTTTTGAAATTTCTCTTAGATCAGCACATTTCAAGGAGTCACTGTCTCTAATGTGGTTTATATTAGTAGTAACCCTTAAATAAGGACAATAACTTGACCTCTACAATAACTGACTTGAAATTGATTTGATTTCTCTTCCTCCCTCATTCTCAGGAGTGGCTTTCACTATCCTGATGCTGTTAGCCAGTCTGAACTCCTGTACGAACCCATGGATCTACACAGCCTTTTCCAGCAGCGTGTCCCGTGAACTTCTCGCTCTGCTGCGCTGTCGGCCAAAGCTGCCCCGCAGGAGCTCAATGCACGACCACTCCAGTGACATAAACACCTCCACTACCAAGGACAACCAGTACTGACCCCTACAGAATAAATGAAAATTGAGTGTCAGCAGAGACAGGGATTTATCCGGATGTATCTGTCCTATGCATGTGGAAGACATGTTGTCATGAGATATTGCCACATCTTCTGTTCAGAGTATCCGATGATGCCACTTTAACCAAGTGAACTGTGAAGAGTGGCTTATGAATTAACCAATTTATGACATAAATTTGAGGATTTTATGCAAAAATAGACCTCTTGAGTATGAGACTGATCTTTGCTGTCTCATCAAACAGGGTAAAGAACAGCTTACTGACTGTCATAATAAACGTAATTAAATTCTACGGAAAATTGAAATATTAACTATTGTGTGTGAGATGGAGATAAATGTCTTAACTGCAGAGGAAGAAGAGATCAAGGCCTTAACCCCACAGCCAGCTATTTCATCCCATTTATCAGTCTTTCTGCCGTAAGTCTTCTTCAGATTCAGAGCTTTCATGGCAAGGACTGAGGAAGAACATGAATTATGTGATTCATGCATGGAAAATACATCCAGCAGACAGTTCAAATCCATGCCAAACAGAAAAATCCAGGACTAAAAGTGATATACATTCCTTATTGGACAAATATCTAATAAATGCCTTTTGTGAAGTACAAAAGGTAGAGGTATAAAACTGAACATATTTTGACGAATTTGTTTTGAATAAGGCTGAGGAAATAATAATGGTTTTATTTAGTGAAACACCAGCAGTGTGCAAAGCAGCAACACTTTCAGTTCCTCAATAACAGTCAAATTATATATAAAGCACTTAAAAGCTTATTTAAAGTTGTGTGAGAATAAAAAGAAGTAATAATGAATATGAGAAGATGATAAAAGAAGATAAATTCAAATGACATCAGGTTATACAGTGCCTTCAATTTAACTGATGTACAGTATAAGTATACAGATCCTGTCATCTGATACTCTGTAAAAATCATTTTCTTAATCAGTATTTTTGCTTAAAATAAGAACAAATGATTCCGGTCGGTTGGAAACCATTAAAAAGGCATATCCTGCAAATCAATTAAATTTATCTTCTTTTAAGAACGGCTAAATATTGTTGCTAAAAGCAAGAGGAAAGGACTGATTAAGATTTTTTTTTTTTGGTGCAGTAGCTGATTTGACACACTGTACATATATAAAGGCTTAGATTAAATGAAAACACAAGATATACTGTAAATAAGTAAAACAAAAAATTATATTGATACAGATGTTTATCTAAATAATTTTGCATTTTAAAGAGAAAATGTCTTTGCCAAATCCTTGTGATATAGTCCAGAAACAACAAATAAAGAATCACATAAACAAATTCAAGGTTGAATGTGGGGTCTCTTTAAGAGTAACTGAGCATAGATACACTAAATACACAGACCTGTATCATTTGACTCTAAATGTGAGCTGATCGTCATTGCAAAGTAATTGATAGTCAAAGAAGATATGATTCATGAAATCAGAAAACAGATTATACGACTGACCCAAATTAATCTCTTTGTCAAACAGCACTTTTTAACATCACCTTTAGTGCTTAATATCATTTACACAATTACTTCACATCTATACATTTTTGTTGAGGTGCAACTCACTGTTGTTAGTCTTTGCAGGAGTTGAAAGGTTTAAAAGAAGAAGCCATATAGCAAATACATCAGGAGGTCACAAATAACCCCAGGCTTACCACCATAGGTCCAGGTAACTATTTGAAGAATGCACTGCAGACATGCATGAAAGTTAGTTAGATGAAAGTTAGACTTGTGGCATAAATTAGGATTGAAAGTTTGATCAAGACAAAACACATCACTGCAGGAAAGTATCTCATTATAGCCATAACATATGGTGATGAGGATATCCTCTGGCATCTGGACTGTATGAACAAATGAGCTAAAGTTCTTCTCAAACTGATCTGTATGAAAGACTGTTCAGCGGACATCAGTATTAATGGAAATGTTTACCCAAAAATGAAAACTTACTCACCCTTGGGCCATGCAAGATGTAGATTATTTGTTTCTTTATCAGAACAGATTTGGAGAATTAGCAAGAATTAGAATTAGCAAGTGAAGCATTTAGCATTCATCACTTGCTCACCAGTGGGTCCTTTGCAGTGAATGGGTGCCATCAGAATGAGAGTCCAAACAGCTCATAAAAACATCACAAATAATCCACATGATTCCAGTCCATTAATGTCTTGTGAAATGAAAAGCTGTGTGTAACAAACAAATCCATCATTAGGAACTTGAAGGATGAGCCCATAATCCATAATAAAGCTTCCTTTGTATCAAAATCCACAAACATATTGAATTGTTTTCACTTGTAATTAAACAGTGCTTTGCTTGATCTGTGCTCAAGATCTTGATTTCTCTCCTGATTCAGACAAGACGACTTTCTCCAGTGGAGAAAGCAAGATTATGAATGGAGGACTTGAATTTTAAATTAAAAACATCATGATGTATTTGTTTATTACAAACGTGCAGCTTTTTCGCTTCACAAGACTTTAAATAATGGGCCGGCGTCATGTTGATCACTTATGGATTATTGTGATGTTTTTATCAGCTCTTTTGACTCTCATTCTGACGGCACCCATTCACTGCAGAGGATCCACTGGTGAGCAAGTGATTTAATGGCTAAATTTCTTCAAATCTGTTCGGATAAAGAAATAAACTGCATCTTACAGATGCAGAGTACATTTTCAGCAAATTCTTAGGTGAATTAATCCTTTTAAAATACTGTAATCCTGTTGCTATGGCCAATTGTTTTGTATGCTGATACTTATTTATTTGGCTAGTTACATGCTGTAATTATACTTATACAGCCCCTCACATTTCAATAATTGGATTTTTTTTTTTTTGCAAAATGACAAAAAAGTGCTGTGAAAATTGTTCACAAAAACAATTTATAACACAAACAGACAATTCGTACTAAAACAAAATGTTTACTTCATGGAGGGATAGTAATTGGAACCTTCTGTGCTCACTTGCAAAACCAAAACTATGCCCTTAAAAGGGTATCCATCCCTCTGACATCACCATACGCACGTCTCTTTGGATTCCAGATTATACATAGAATCCTTTGAAATCAGTTTCCTCTGAGAACAGGAAATACAATGAAGACCTGTATTAAACTAATGTGAACTGCCGGGTAAGCTTTATCAAACACCGTTTACGTGGCAAAAAAATTAAAATAAATAAAGTACATCCATTTTGAAGTGCAAACCTGAAAGCCAGGGTCATGTGGGATAAATCTGGATCTCTAAAACATTCCTATGAATGAAACCATAATTTATTCTCATCCCGTAGGGTTTGTAAGACAGCTACGCAGGGCTTATTAATGGCTGTGGTTCAGGAGGACCACAGAAATCCTGCCAGTGTTGGATAGCGTTCTGTGTCCGAGGTCATTCATTAATTCAATGCTGTTTCTGGCAGTTTAAGAGATATAAATAAGGAGTATGTCTGGCGAGAGGTTGACACGCAGTGGCCGACCCTTCAGTGAAGAAGTAATTAGGTTCAAATATAAAATGAAACTTACAAAGAAAATCAATCAGATTTCTTATTATAGTAAAATATATCACTAAATAAACGGCATGAAGTGACAACAAAGAATGTAAGGTTTCAAAATAGTCCAGGAAAGACTGGAATTGCACTTTGTAATTTTCGTGTCGGAGTGATGGATTCTGAAATTTTCAATCCACATGGTAAGTGTTGTCCACAACGTTTTTTTTCCCATTTCGGAGCAAAAGCATCTGTGGAATTTCATATATAAATAATTATCTTTCTGACAGCAGAGTCCTTCAAAACTGAGTTTGGATTTTAGCAATTAAAGTTTACAGTTTTCATTATGAAGTATATTATTCTAGTTCTGTATCCCAAAACACAGCTGAGAAAACCACAGTATGATGAACAGGAAATAACAGAGTGAACTTCATGTAATATAAAACCTGAATGAAGACTATTGTCACATTCACCGATGCATGGATGTATACAACATTACAGAACACTCTGACTGAGCACTTCAGAGTTTCACTCTCCGTCAAGCGATCTGTGATATTTTTCAGTTCATTTGAATGGATGCGCAGCGCACCTGTGTTTGTGTATTTGGCGTAACGTAAACTCTAGTGTGAAGGCGCACGACTCGCCGTCTCTTTCTCTCACACGCGCAAAGAGCGAGAGTCTTACATAACATGCAGAATTGATGCGCTACATGTAAACGATATACTTTGTTGTATTTTCCTGTAAAAATAACAGAGTTCCTTTGGAATTTTTCAGCTCTTAAGAACTGCCGGGTTCTCCTGTAGTAGGCGGAACTAATGCGCAAACGACAATCTCATTGGCTGGCGCTCACCTATTATCGTCCCTGGTTCGTATAATAATATCTTAACAGTATTATTGTTCGTTTTTTTTTTTTTACAGGTACACTGAATGACCAAAAAAAGCACCAGCACCAGTCCTAAGTTCATGGTTACCAAGTTTTAATTCTAATTACTAAACTTCTATTATTAAATAATACTTGATTATCATGTTATAATGTTATGTTATTATAAAATGTTAAAATTGTAACATAAATGATCAAGTTTAGTTATTCTTATTTCTGGCACCGTTTTGGAGAGAAATGGGCTCTCATTTTAACCCATATCATGGTGTGTGATGCTGAACTATGAGTTTCTAATAGTGTTTGTATTTGCACTGTTCTAAACATTAATATATTATGTGCAACAACAGCATATGCTGTCTCAGTGGCCTTACACATGATTTTAAATCTATTTTTTCAAACTTTATGATTTAAATGGGGATGATTGTACTGAGAATAACTTTAATCTTTTCTTCAACTGAATACTGTTTCCGTGCTGTTTTGATGTATTTTAAAGAGTTGGCAGTCAAAATTAAAACTGCTGGATGAAAGATATTCTTCATTCTTTATGACAAATAAGATAATGTGAATTACGGAATGTACAACATTTTTAAAATGGATAAATTGCGGTGTACAGCGTTTATTATGAGGGGGTAGAATCCACAGCTCAGTACTCACTACTCAATACTCATGAGTACTTTTAAATAGGCTACTCTTTTACTCTTACTCAAGTAGTTTTTTTGGACAAGTACTTTTACTCTACTCGCACTAGATTTTTTGGAAGGTAATGGTACTTTTACTTGAGTATATTTTTTCAGTACTCTTTCCACCACTGAACATTATTACAAACAGCTGGTCTACATTAGCACTTGTATATAATTGTCGAGAGAGGGCTGGAAGGATAATAAACAAAGTAAGGATGTTTAAATCTGCTGCTGCTAAAATCATTTGCACACCAAATCAGATCATGCATGAAGATACAATATAGAATCAGCCTACGTAATAAAAAGCTGCTCAAAATAAGATTAGTCTGTACCCCATTGCATCTATTTATCTAGGAGCCTTTTATAAGAATGTTTTCCAGAATTTCTGCAAGGACCGCTTGTTTATTTTACAGTGCTGCATAAGCTTTGAGCATTACTCTCTAATAAGGATGAAATTACTTACACCTTGAGGTTCAGTTCACCTTAGGTCGCTCTGGCAGCTGGCCATGTTACTGGCACGCTGCTGGATACTGAGCAGACAAGAAACACATTTTTGAATGCCAGACATTGCATTCTGTTTAATAGCCTGTCTTGTTTGCACTTACAGTTAATTGCAAATAACTGTGTTATTTATAATAACAAGTGTTGTAGAATTATACAAAAGTTATGAATGGCCTATAAAGTTGATAAAAATGTCAAATGAAGACTACAGAGTTTGGAAAGTAGCCTATACTGTGGAATGAACTGGTCCAGTCCAGTGTTTTGTAACTTGTACCTTTTTTGCAGGCAATTATACTGTCGTTCTTATGGAAAGAAAAATGTTTCGGGTTTGTGTAATTATACGTTAGAAAAATGATCATTTTACGATATTATTGTTACTAAATCTTGAAGAAAATGCAACTTTGATGACTATGACTTTACTCATATTTGAAGAGTCTTACTGCCCTCAGGTGTTCATTAGTCAGAACTACAATCGAAAAGTAACAAATTAACTTTTTAAAAATCATCTGTTATTTACTAACGTGCACTTTACTAAAATATCAAGTATTGACATAAGATCAAAAACCGAATGAACAACATACGTACAATGTCACTATACA